TGTCATAGTTTGTGGAATATCATAACATTTTTTCTCAAATGTTAATCTTCCACATCCATCTTGAGAAATACCAAGAACTAGTTCAAATTTAAATTGTTGTTTTTCATCAATCCAATTAGAAATTAATGAACTTATTTTTAAGTTCAATAATTTTCCAATTCTTGGACTTTTTTGAATTAATAACTTTGGTTTCCATTCATCATTGTGATGATAGTATTGAATTAGTTCTTCATAAACTTCCTTATCAATAATTTCTTTATAAGGTTTGATTTTTTCATTGAAATCGTGTGAAGGAATTATATTAAACCTGATTAGTGGAATAATCTCCTCCAAATTTGTTTTCAATTCAATTACACTATCTTCATTCCATTCTGAAATACTTTCTTCCAGTTTGACTAATTTTGGTTTTTTATTTACTGGTGAATACCGGCCCAACTCAATGGATTTTTCTTTTTTTCCCTCCTTTTTTGCTTCTTCCAAATTTTCTATTTGTCCAATTCCCCATTGAATAGCATGATCCCAGGCACCAATTTCTTTTTCAACTTTGAAATAATCACTTTTTACCACAAACAACATTGTTGATTTTTCAATTGCCTTATAACCACCATCATCATCAGAATTGAAAAAAACCAATTCAGGGTTTCCACAAATTAATTCGTTACAATTATTTTGAAGCATACTACTAAACGATAATTGATGTTGTGATGAAAATGTATAAACATAAATTAAATTTTGCTTGATCCGTTCATTTCCTTCAACCATTAAATAGTTTTGTATATCCTCGATTAATTCATTAAAATTTAATTCATCACATGCTTCAAGAAGTTCAAGAATTTCATTTGGATTCAGATTATCTATACTAATAATTCCATTATAAATAAATCTTTTAAAATAACAAGGAGAAATAAATTAACAGTTTTAAAATTTTTTGCAATTAAATTAAATCAAATCAATCAATCTTACTTTAAAAGAACCTCAAATACTTTTGGAGAAATATTCTCCTTTTCAAATAAAATAACCCCATAGATCAATTTATATCACATATGCTAAAATATGTCTGCCATGTCAATCACATCAACATTAGAAATTTCTGATGAAATTTCATCAGGAACTTCTCAAATTCAAGAAGCTAGCGTAGAAAATATTACAGAAGGTAATTAATTAATAATAATTCTTATTTATTATATACATCATAAATAAATATCGTTATTTTTATTATAATAAATGATAACTTAGATGAGACTGATTTATATGATAGACAAATAAGATTATGGGGTTTAGAAGCTCAACAAAAGTAAATAAATATATTAATTAATTGATCATCACATTAAAAATATTTCAAAAATCATAAAAATTATAATCTTTTTTTTTTCTAATTATGATAGAATGCGTAATTCATCAATATTAATATGTGGGATGAGAGGTTTAAGTAATGAAGTGTGCAAGAATATAGTTCTGTCTGGAGTTGGAAAGGTTACAATAATTGATCAAAATTTGGTGACTGAAAATGATTTAGGTGCTCAATTTCTTTTAAGTGAACAAGATATTGGAAAAAACGTAATGACAAAGTTTTTCATTTAAAATTTTTTTTTTGAATTGAAAGAAAAAATTTACTTACAATTAATATTTTTTTCAGAGAGCTTTGGCAGCAGCAGATCGTGTTAAATATTTGAATCCTCGTGTTAACGTAACAACTGACACTGATGATATTCGTAACAAGCCTAAAGATTATTTTCAGAAATTTGATTTAATAACTTTAACAGATTGTGATACAAATACAATAGTAATTTGTTAACACATACTTGTGTTATATTTATTATATTTTTTTACTTATTTGCTGACATTCAGAATTTGATTTATTATTAATCAGATCGAGATTAACCGGATTTGTCATGAATTAGGCAAGAAATTTTATGCAGCAAGCACATATGGCATTTATGGATATATATTTTGTGATCTTCTTCAACATGAATTTATTGAGTAAGCCAAGATATTATTATTATTATTATTAGAAATAGTCGTAGTGAAAGCATTTTTTAAACTGACTGATTAATTTAATTTTTCCATTTGTGTGATATTTGTGCTAAGAGAGCGCCGGGTGGCTATTCCACATAAAGATGAAGTTGAAATAAAAATGATAAAGAAAAATGCCAAATACGAAAACTTTGAAACCTTTTTATCAAATGATTGGGCAACTACTAAAAGAAAAAAAATAAAGCCTTTATTCTGGGCTATACAAAGTATTTATTGAATCATCGAGAATCATTAGAATTATGGGAGTTCTCATAAAAAAACTCAATTTAATTTGATTTATTTATTAGTAATTTTGAAATTTCAACAAGCAAATAACCATCCACCAAAATTATCTGAAGATATTGAAAAATTATCATCCATCAGAGATTCATATATGCAATCAGTTGGAATTGATTCATCGTTCGTTTCTGATGAACTATTAAAGTAAAATACAATTTCGATATTATTAAGGTTACTACTGTTATATTTCTGCACTAGATTATCAGTTATTTATTTGTTGTTTGTGCATAGATCACTTGTATTGAATTTTTCGGCAGAACTATCACCAATTTGTGCAATTGTAGGCGGAATCTTGGCTCAGGACATTTTAAAAGCATTATCATGTAAAGAATTACCTATTAACAATTTTTTCATTTATGATGGAAACGAAGGTAAAAAATTTTTAACACAGCATGTGTGTGTGTGTATGTATATTTATATATATTTATATTTATATTTATATTTATATTTATATTTATATTTATATTTTATATAGGTTCTGGTCTTATTTACAAATTTGAAAAATCATCTAATTAATTAATATTAAAGGTGAAATTTTTCAGAAATTCATTCATGATCAATTGGTTGATATTCATTTCATTAAATACTGCACATCTAATATCTGATATGTCATCCATTTACATTGCAAACTAATGCTTTGAGCTTTCAAATAATTGAATAATAGTCAAATTTTTTTTTTTATTTTTCAATTGTAGCAAAATCTAGCATTTGATTATTAAAAAATTATCTTAGAATTTAATAATTCAGAATTCAGTGTCCTGTGTTGTGGGTCGATTGTTGCCCATGAGAATGGTCACTATGGCTGTGATAAGAACCGTGGTGGTAGTAGGGGCTGTGATAGGAGCCGTGTTGTACTTATCCTTGACCCTTTTGAAGTAATAATCTTGGTTGCCATTTACTAGTAAGATAATATTGAAGAATTTCTTCATAAAGTTCTTTTTCAATACTTTTTTATATGGTTTGATTTTTTTGTAGAAGTCATCAGATGAAATTGGATTAAATCTAATTAATGGAATAATATTAATCAATAGAATTTTTAATTGATTAAAATCATCCTTATTCCAATTTAAAATATTTTTTTTCAATTCTTGTTTTTGCCCAATTCCCCATTGAATAACATAATCCCAAATATTAATTTCATCTAATTCTATGTCATCTCTTTTTAATATGGCTATAAATGCTGATTCATCAATATCTTTGAAATCATTGGATTTTAAAAATAATTCTGGTTTCTCACAAACTAATTTATTACAATGAGCCTGCAATATGCTGAACAATTGATGTTTTAATGAAATTTTTTGAACATAAATTAAATTTTGTTGAATCCATTCTTTTTTATTTGTAATTAGATAATTTTGTAAATCATTAATTAATTCATTAAAGTCCAATTCATCACATGCTTCAAGGAGTTCAAGAATTTCATTTGGATTCAGATTATCTATACTAATAATTCCATTATAAATAAATCTTTTAAAATAATAAGGAGAAAAAAATTAATAATTTTAAAATATTGTTTATAAAATAATCAAAATGAATAAATCAATCAATCTTACTTTAAAAGAACCTCAAATACTTTTGGAGAAATATTCTCCTTTTCAAATAAAATAGCCCCATGACCAGATTTTTTAATCCAGTTGGCTGATAAAGCTGTTTTAAAATATGTAGATCTTGCTTTTAAAATATTTGAATGAGCTTTAAAGGTTTAACCTCCTGTTCTGCTCCAACTCTAATCTCCACATCATAGGCATCAGGTTCATTCAGCAATTTTGATAAATCATTTACAAGTTGGCTAATATATTTTAATGGCAAGGCATCCTTTTTAGAATTGATAAGGTTGTTAATAATTGTGTTGATATTTTCTAAGGATGTAAAACTATTAGACATTTTGTTTTTTTTTTGCTGATTTACGTTATTTTGTGTGATTGATTTACTGTAAAGTCTTGAAAGATAACACCCCTTTTTACAATTGTTTACAATTGTGTAACAAATGATTTTCAATTGTAAAGTAGGGGTGGTGCTATCTTTCGAAACATATCAGGTATAGTGGCAATCATCTAAAGACATCATCAAATGTTGCCAATCTTTAAGTACTGATACTTTATTAAATATGGCCTATTCTACCAAAAACTCTCTATTTTTGCAATATTCTAGACATGAAAAATAATGTAATAGAAAGTTTTTTTTTGAGTTATTTAATTAAAAAAAAAGTTATAATGGTTTAAAGTTGGGTAACTCTGCTATTTTATTTGAAATTTCGGCAACTATATATCTAAACTGCAATTTACAGATTATTTTCACAATTTTACCAATTATTCACGTGACAAAGTCACAGATCTTTTACAAATTTGGATTTATTTTTATATATTGGATTCTTTATAAGGCAAGATCAGCATAAAAATTTCGGCAAGTGGCGCAGCACGTGATGTCTTTAGATGATTCGCACCATACTCAATTTTAGAGGATGATCGGCAATAATTGCAACACATGTTATATACAAACTGTCCTGTCATCTGGCTTTAACTCAATTGTATGTCACCAAAATCGATTGTACAACAATATCAACAATATATTCTAATTCTCCACTTTCTACTTTATAGATTGCAAAAGC